GCCGGCACAGGCGGAGACGGAGTCCTCGGATAGGATCTTTTGGCTGGAGCGCGAAAAACGAAGCATAGGACACAGGAATGTCTTCGTTGTAGGTAAGCTTCAACGTTTGGAGACCGACGTGTGTCCAGGCTAAACTTGGCTCTTAACATTCTATGCAGTACAGTCTACCGACTGATGGTATGCTCTGAGGAGGATCCGACTCATAATATACAGTGGTTTGGCTTCGTTTATATAACTGCCTCGTATTTTCGAAAGGATTTAGCTGAACACCTTTTGCCCATAGTCTGCCACATTAATCACCATAATTTCCAGCGCCATACCATGGCATCGCCAATGAGTTTTACCATTTCTCTTGCACCAAACTACAACTAGACAAAGAAACAAGAAGCCGACTACGATGCTAAATGTCTGGGAATGTACTAAATCCATTGCCCGACGCCAGAGTACTATGGCAGATGATTTAGGATAAGGTGTGAAGCGAAGGACAGTGATCACACTAAAGGCTACATCATCTTGGTCGTCATTTCCTATGATTTGAGGCCAAATTAACATTTTTAAAAACCATTACAACTATATTTCGCTGTTTCCTTCCTGAGTTTGTTTCGAAGTATTTGTAATTCCTGAACAAGAGTTCAGATCAAATTTCATTTTGGGAAAATTCCGCTATCAGTCCTCAACTCACCCTAAGTCGGTATTCACAAATATTCTCTGTAACTCGATTTCGAGCTTATCAATTATTCCTGAATGACACTCGTCAGCCTAAATTGCACAAGGTGATTTAAGGACTGACAGTTGAATTTGCCAACAATCAGACGAGTAGGCCTAACGACGCCATTGAATCTCACTTGGCCTTGCTTCGGCGAGGCCTGGCCTGCCTTTAATGTCACCTCTACTCCGTGACCTAAGGTCACTAGTGGCGGAGTAGTGGAGTGGTAGCGTGACCACGATATTTACGACCTAGGATGGAATCCCGTTGGGCGGTTCCGATAAGACCTAGGCGATTTCTAAACCTCGGTCTACTCCAGCCAGAATGATATAGTCTTTTGGTATGCAAGGCTCAATAAAATTCAATATCGTCGTAAGGCTTATTTATATAAAGTTATGAAGACCAAGATGGTGTGGCCCTCAGTATCGTCGCAGTCTGCTTTCGAAGTATACATGAGGGTTGACCTCGTTTAAGCAGCTTTGTCTTGTTGTCAGGTGCGTCCAACTAAGTAGCCTTGACAACAAGACCAAGTTGCGAAAACGAGGTCAACCCACTTCTGCTTTATATCATTATGGAAAAACGCAACCATTATTCATT